AATGAAAATTTTAAGTGAGTAGACATTTTGTAGTATTAATTGAATAGGAGGAGGAAGGGGAGGGGACAAGAATAAAATGACTTGCTTACTTTGAATTTGTGTCGTTTAACATTGTTTGAATTTAAAATGTACTACTTCAATTTTAAAGTCGTATAGTAGGTGAATAACGCGGAATTAAACTTATATCAATTAAAAGCAATAAGTCACTTTTTAATTGTTCAAGATATTTAGTCAATAAAGTCAAATTATTATATGTTAAATTGCCGCAATAAATAATTAAAGAGTAATTAACCAAATATTTGATGACGAAAAAAACTTTTAATTGAGTAAAAACTCCGGGACCAAACCAATAGTTTCCACTATAGCAATAAGAACTTACATTATGATACAGTCTAGAAAACTCACTAGACTCCTTGATTTAATTCATGCAATCTCCAAGACCTGCTGGGATGTGCTTTACTCACACCCATTCTCGATCTTTTAGAACTGTCTATCTCCTGTAAAACACCAAGGACACCTCGTTCTTGTACTCTTCCTGTGCTTCTGGTCCAACTTTCCTCGATTTTCAGTAATCTCTGAAAGTTATTGAGAAAATATTTTCCTAATGATATATAGAAAGTGGGTATTTTGGATTTTATGAAATTCGATGTTTTTTTCCAAATTTGTGGTTGATTGATCTCAAGAATCAAAGGTAAAACTAAAGATTTGGATGTGTTCTTAGATCTTGAAAGAATGATATAAAGATGTAAAGCAATTATCAACCACCCAAAATGTATTGGGCATTGAGTTTTATAATAGGAGGAGTTTTGGTAGTATATGATTGATAAAACTCTTGAAAAACGCAAATTAGGATTTATCAAACAACATCGTCGCTCGAGCGCCAAGCTAGCGAGAGGTGTGTCGCGGGGGCAACACTGATTCTGCTTTGGTCGCTCGAACATCAGTTAGACGACATACTAATGTAAATCTTGCGACTCTTTCTTCTTGTTCCATACTCGAATTCAAAGACTTCTAATTCATCTATACAACACTCCAAAAGATTCATTGACTTTTACAACTCTTTTGTAATAATCATATTCTTTTACAATAATCATTTTATTTAAAGAATTGTCAATATAACTAAAAACCTAACAGAATTCATTTGACCAAACAAACATATTCTTTTGTTATCGCATATATATTATACCTTGCTTATATATGGTTTCTCTCTATGAACAAACTTTGTAGCATTTGTATTTATTTTTCTCTTGAGAGTCGCCCGTTTGTTGTCTACAAAGATGACACGAACGGAAATGATTGACACGAGAGCTCCTCTAAGTATATCAATCGGTGGGACGACTTGTGTAGCATGATATAAGACTTCCTCTGCATAGAGGTTAGATCAAAACTAAAATATTTTGTGAGCTGATAACAAAATTGATGATTGTTTCAGAGACTAGTCACGATTATCATTTGTGTTATCTATTTCATTCAATTCTATTTATCAAACATGGGAAGCTCGATTGTGTACGAAAATTATTTTTTTCACAGTGCACCTTTTCTCTAGTTATAAAATGTGAAAGTGTACTCGTAGCACTTGATATTTACCATTGCCCAATTGAGACGATGATAGTTTCTAAGGGGCGGCCCTTTTCCTGGTAAAAAATATGAAATCTTCACTAAATTTCAGTCTTCTAGCTTTGTAGGTCCCATTTCCTTTTGATCGTTCAATAATTAATTTTGTTGACTATAATTTCGTCGGTACATTTGATTATATATGAATATTTATTTTTGAGATAGCAACATATCCACCTAGGAGCATTTGATATTTACGAGTAATTGTTTGATAGGAATTAAAATTTAGATTTTAATTTAAATTAAGTCAATATTTAATTTTAATAATATATTTTACGTGATTCACATTTTAACAACAACATATTTCATCAGGTTCCATCAAAATTTACTAAAAATCTAATTTTAATTCCTACTAAACTTGGACTTGTTTACGTAAGTTCTTATCTATTAATTAATTCTCTATTTCTGATATAATTATTCTACTTGTGATAGACAGATAGTTCAACGGTTTGAACTTGTCTTTTATTGTGTTCATACTACAGGGAATTCATAGTTGCTTTCATGAAAGTGAATATACAGACACTAGTGGGTGCTTGGAAAATATTATTAATTTTATTATAATTTAGACTTTGTCTGGTCTCGATTTTTCGTCAAGAATCGATTTTCATTAACGATTATGTGCGGGCGTTTGCATTTTAAAATATTTCAAACAAGACAACTCATGGCACGAAACAAATGTGACATTCCATCACATTCATACTTTTGCTTTTAACATAAATTTGATGCATAATTTAACTAGCACAATTTGGTACTTTCAAGAAAAGGGTACATATGAGCGTCAACTAGTATAATGGTTGTTTTTTTTCTTCTATTTTTAATTGAAAAGATTTTGATGTCAAAGTACAAATTTTGCTAAGAATCAGATTTTAAGCAGAAACAACCGGGAGTTTAATGATCAAAATCGATCATTTCTTGGGACTTACTGACTACTATATTTTATCCGCCAATCATTTTTGTTACATTGAACTTTGAATAACTTATAATTTTATCAAAATAATTTCACGTGCACGTGCACGTGCACATGCACATGCACGCACAGTCTCTCGCGTGTATGTATATGTAAAGGGACAGTTGCTCATGGACGATTGAATAGAAGCAGTCAAATTCCACCTTATCGAGAAGGAAAAAAGAAAATTCAAGTAACTTTCTATAATTATGTGTTCATACTACATGGCAGTGGAGGTGACACCTTACCGACTTCATGATTACGTCATCACCCTTGCCAAACCAAAAATAAATAACCAACCCACCATTTCATCTTCTAATTTCCATCTCCAAATGCAAATGCAAAACTCAAACAGTAACAAAACTATTTCCCAGAATGAAAAACTCAGCAACCAGCTCCCACCAAAAAGAGGTCAGATTAAAGCCAAAATTTTTGAGAAATGCAGAGAGTTAGTGAGCAGAATCACAAATGGAGGCCATGCACAAAGTGATAAACAGGATCTCCACACAACAGTCAAGCTGCATGATGGAGAGAATAGTTGAGTACTTGTAGTTGTGTTAAATAACATGGGCCATGGTGGTGGCTTTTGATCTTTTCTCCATCATTATGAGATTACGAGATTATGAGTGATCATGTAGTCGACTCTAAATATATTGTTATTATTGTATGTTTCAATTATGATAATGGATTGAGATTTTAAACTAGCTGTACTATTCCGTATCGTTGTTTATAGATGAGCAAGAACTTATTTTCTGATTTATTTCCTCCAATTTCTTCATCTACATTGGCGTTGTAAGTTTAACTTATTTTTTTCATTCATCTGATGCTCAAGAATGAATCATTCATTCATCAAGGTCTTCTCTATCAAATACGGAACAAATTAACAAGCCATGTCATCTTCTCCAATCTGGGTTGGGACAATAGTCGCCTTTATATGTAGTGATGTTGACAAAAAAAGAGAACGTGAACGAAAAACGAGCCTAAAAGCACACCGATTCAAACTGGTTAGTTAATTTATAATCCATATTGTTAGTTCAATTCTCCTCCTTTCACGCCCCCTGCTGCTGTTTTCAGTTCCTTATGCCAATATATATATATATTTTTGCTTAATTTCTTATTAAGCATAATTTATTCTTGTATGTCGTTTTTGATGTGTTTATCATTTTTCTGGTTTGTTTGATTACACTATGTTTTTTCTTCCCCCTCAATCTGACAGCTGCAGTAATCCGGTATAAGAGGTAAGATACTGTCATTCATAACAAAAATGAAAAAAACTTTTATTTTGGCATTTTAAATATATATGATCTTTACTGATGCATTACGTTTTATTTACCTTTTTTAAGATTTTCTTTTCATTCTGATATAGATTCATTTACTTCAACTTAGATACATGTAAGGCATTATAGGCGACACGAACTATGTTTCTAATATCATGTTAGATAGATGCTAAATGATGTTTGGATGGATAAAATAAAAATCGCAGTAATGTAATCTCATAGAACGAGGTAGAAAACAGGAAGGTAGACTAGTTAATATAGTGTGATATGATTGCATTAATAGGAAAAAATAAAGAGGTAGACAAAATTTTAATATGATACAAAAGATTTGATTTCATTAAATTCATCAACAAATTAAAGTAGCAATAGGTTAAATAAATGAAAAAAAATAATAATTTAGATAAACCATATAAACCCTAATATTTTATTTACAAAATTAAGCATTCTATCAGTAAATTATCGAGTACCTCAAGGTTCTTATTACGCTAGCCCGTTCGGTGGAAATTAAAATCAGATTTTTAGTAGATATTGATAAAAATTGATTAAATATGTAGTTGAAAAATTGTGAATTCTATGAAATATTTGGTTAAAATTAAATGTTGACTTCTACTTAGATTAAAATCTAAATTTTAATCCCCATCAAATAGGGACGAATATTTTTAACACACAATTGATTTAATTTGCGACCTAGACGATCCAAGACGTTTTGCAAACACAACAAACCTGAATTTTGTCTAGTTCATAATTTCTCTTCATTTTCTTAGCTACAGTTACCTTCTTTAAGATTTTTCTTATGTGAAAGAACATCATTTTGTTGACGAATTACAGATCAAATTTCTTGTGACCATACACCGTAAAGAATTCCGTAGAATAATAAGGTGAACATGAAATCCACAAAGAAGATATATAGAGAAATATCCATCGTCTTGAAGTGGTTCATCTACTACGAGACTTGAGTCTTACAAACCAAAAATCCTCAAAACATAAGAAAGTTTCAATAAATAACGTGTCTTCAACATTCACACAAATAACGAAGTCCGCAATTTTCATAGTTACACATGCTTTCAACCTTCCAGGAATCTCCAACCATGGGAGCAAAGAGCTTCCCCGAAATCTAAGAACAAATACTACTATCTACACATATTTAGCATATAAAGGCCGGGTCAAGAATCCGTGTCTAGAGTTTCACTTTTGCTTTGGTTCTCGTCTGTTACCCGTCGCACAAATTGTCCTCGAACACGTGGCCTTTGTTCTGCCAGTTTCTTCCTGCTCTGATACCGGACCTAGAAAGAATGTCAAAGAACAAAAGTTCAGCTGTTATTCTCCAGAACAAAATATGAAGGACTTTTGTTGAGAACAATGTAAATTAAGTGATGGATGAAAATCGACAGGTCCACATTATATTTTGATGGCAGTAAGTGTCCAGGGAAGGCAATGAAACTATGCACGTTTCATGCATATGTTTGTGAAAGGAAAGTTGATTTGTACCATAAAAGAGAAATTATTCTATTGAAATGCAAAGAATGAAAAGAAAGGCACGTGGTAAAATTGTCAACGACAGACACATCTCCCAATACCCTTTTTTCCACCAGCGTGTATCCCAGTGCAATATTGATCCGAGAATGGTCGTGAATAAGTTACCTTTTTCTCGAAGCATCTTTCTTTTCTTTTCTGGAAGAATTTGTTCAAAGCAGCCTCCCTTTGAGCTGACCGGTTTTGGTCTACCATGCTCCTGCTTCCACTGCCACTACCATCACCAGCTTCATATTTTGCTACTGTTCCACTATCACTCGCCACATTTGTTCCTTCAGTGATTGCAACAGTGCTGCCTCCATTTTGCCCATTGCTTCCATTGTTACTCCCTGACGCACTCCCATAATTAGCAACATTTCCGTCTAATTCTGTGTCATCACATGGTCCTTGGAATGGAGTTTCTGCAGTTATAATTTTCAAGGACAAATCATCATGGTTGAGCAGTTGCTGCTGCTGAGCATTATAAGCATGATGGTGGTGGTGGTGGTGATGGTGGTGGTGGTGGTGATGGTGGTTCTGAACTTGGGCCTGCTGGTCCAAGGCCTTCGTTGGTGCCAAGGTTGCGTTTGTCGCATTGGACTTGCTCGGGTTCATAGGCTGAAGGGGCGATATGTGGGCCTGCTGAATTGACTGCAAAGCGGAACATGAATGGATATCAACTGAAGATTTGGGTATTGTTTTCTCGTTACATGCTTCCACCTTGGCAAAAGCATTATTCGTGGTGGAGCCCATGTCATTGTTGTAGCTACTGCCATTAGATCCCTGATTGGGAGCGGCATATTCTGTCTTTTCTGCTTCAGAACTATTATTAATTGGACAACAACTGCCCAAATTTCCAATTGGCATCTGATTAGCATTGGTCGTGGAGTTATACCTGAAACTTATAGGGAATCGTTTACATATCAATCTGACTATTTAGATCTAAGGAAAATACAAGTTATCTAAGCCTTGAGTTCTGCACCTTGAGAAGGCTGAGAGATTTGAATGTCTCAATACATTATGCTGAAGGGCACTGGTTCCCGTATCATCCGTGTCTCTGACTCCGATCAAACTGAACTCAAGGGAAGGTTTTTCCTTGGGATCATGGGAAGCCATTTCTTTGATTTTTGTTGCTTCCGATAGATGTTTTGGAACTTCGTTGGACACATTTCTCATCTTTGGTTTAGGCACATTGGTAATTGCACCCATCGGACCACAATCTTTGTTCCTCAATGCTCCCTTTGGTATCTCATTCTTGGGATCCACTTCTCTGTTTTCGAGTCTGTTGCTATCTTTGCTCATGTACGGAATAAAAATTTTAGACTTTTCAGTCCCCATAGTATCATTCCATACTTCTTCTCTTTGGCTGCATAGTTCTTGAACATTTGGTACTCCTATCTTCAAATCTTGTCCATTGTAGCATTTGTCTCAGCAGTTAAATAAATCATTTGCTCAATTTAAACAGTAAATAATTGGACGGGTATATAAATGAAAAAGTGTAGCTGGAAAAGAAAGAATCTTACCAAGTGCATCATCCTGTTTTCTATATTCTCTTGTGGACGTTGGCACCCGGTTATTGCTTGTTGCCTCAGGCCATGAATGGTCCTGGGCAAGAGTTGTATTGGGAGGACCTGCTAATTCATCCCAAGGAGCCAAGGTTTGGGGGCCATCAATTTCTGCTGCCCTTCTTGACCAAGAACTCTGCATAAAATAACATAAATGTTAACTTGGAATCTAGAAACTAGATTTAGATCAATCACTAGCTTCAGAAACTTACATCTAATTGGATTCTTCTTTTATAGATATGCACACAAAAGATGCACAGCCATATAAACACATGCATGTGTCCATAAATTCATGATAACATGAATATTGGAATAATGTGTGAAGTATAAAAACATGTAAAAATTGACTTGGTTTCCCTTATAGCTCTTTTGATTAGCGGTTTTGTCTGAAATCCTTAAATGACTAAACAATGTAAGATTAAAAATATTCTATCTATTTGCCTCTGTAATTTGTCTTGGGGAAGTGAAATTTCAGATTATATATGGAATAAATACAGAACTCAGGTCATTCATGAGAGGAAAATCTAAGGTCATTCATGCCAGGAAAATCTAAGCTCTGTTTGGATCCAATTGCATAATTAAGTTTCTATCCACACAATCGAGATGAGGAGTACTAGTCAAATTTGTTTTGAAAACCGGACCAGACCGACTAGTCCAGCTTTAAGCTAAAAGACTAGAAATTATTGGAAGTAGTAAAGAACTGGCAGGCTGTAACAATTTTTTTATTTGTTAGGTATTTTTTTGCCACAGGTTAAACCTCGCTTTGACCCTGTACCCTTTCTTGGTCGATCCATGACCTGTTTTCGAAATATTGAGTCAAAAATAAGTTTTCCATGCAATCACTTTTGGAAATAAATCTAATCACTGGATAGTAGATAAGGCGACCAATGCTTCTAAAGGTCACTAACATGTCCAACATGCCTGCTACAAGGACTACACTAGTACACTTTACTACCATAAAAGGGTATTCAAGCTTGGTATTACACTACATATTAAGAAAAACATCAGGGAAAAAAAGAAGAAGAATAAACCAATAACCTTGGGCATCTTTTCCAGCATATATTTACATCAATCAAATCTTAATCTTTCTATCATCTTAACTTGGCATTCCATATTAGCATATACACATACCTAGAATCATTTATGCATCCCAGTAGTTCATGCAATGATCCCATGTACTGAAAGAACAATCTAAAACGTCCAAGACATCAAATCCAGTCCTTAATTCTCTAACCTCTAAAACATAGCTGTACTGGCAAACAACCTAATTCATTCAGGTGACTGCTTATTACTCTTTAACGCAAGGAAAATAGTATGCATGCAACGGATGAACATACAACACGAAATGTGAAACTACAATGGTGGCATTTAGAGAATAGGTATTACCTGAGTTTCGCTTCCACTTCCATTTTCACTTCCATCCCGAACATTCAAGCCAATGCTTCCACTGTCGTCCCCATTATTGCTGGCAGCATAATTATCTAACTCATCGCTTTTTGACTTTGGAGATTTTTGAGTTCGTATTCCACTTTCACTTCCACTACCACTTGACTGATATTAAAGGATAAGAACTTAGTGCATTATAGAACAATATGCTATGCAGAAAAGATAAATAAAAACAGAACTTTTAAAAGTATCCAGATGGGATCCAACATTCCGTGCTTTATGAGTTATCCAGGTTTTGACCACCTAAGTCATCTTTCATAAATCTTCCACAGTTGCCATCACCGCTTGGTGAATATTCTTGTATCTTATCTTATTCATCCTACCAAGCCACTAATCCATCTTAGGGCCTGAGATTTTTTTAGAATAGATTTTGTGAAATATTTTTGAAGAATGTGTGGTTAAAATGTAGGAAAAAGTTATGAATCCACGTGTAAAATTATTTTACTGGATAAATGGTGGTTTCAAATGAATTTGGGAAAAAAATGAGTTTAAAAGAACATGTACCAAATAGGGGCTTAATGTCATCATTAAGCTACATTTGTCTTATGGACTTTTTGTCCTTAAACCATTTATCAAAATGGGTGCCAAAACTTGAGCCCAGTGCCTTAGACAGCTCAGTCACCCTAACCCTAAACCTGACACGTGAAATTTTGTAGTTCAGTAGCATTGAGACTTGAATGTTCTGAGCCACACTTCAACTAAAGGCTAAATTAAAATAAAAGGCAGTGCAATATGAGGACTTCCCATTGGGTCACCGTCCTAGTAATACTCTCGTCCAAACACTCCTAACTTCAGAGTTCTGTAGGGATTCAATTGGTTAATGCAAGGGTCACACTCATTCTAAATACTACTCTCGTCAAGCTCACCATTTGTACTAATTGCTACTAGGATAGGAAGTCAATAAATGATCAAGGAACTAAATATTACTTACACTGTGGCATTTTCTCCAAACATGCTGCCAGAGAGTTTTAAGCTCATTCTTTCTAATAGGCTTCACTAAAAAGTCAGCTGCACCCTTTGACAAACACTTAAAGACTATACCCATAGAATCATTAGATGACATCACTGCAAGAAAACCTCATCAGCTGGCAGTTTAGAAGTACAAATTCTTTAAAATCGTGAATAAGATATTCTTGACAAAAAATAGAAAGACAGAAAATTGTAATAAAAACTCACTAATTACTGGAATATTCTTGCAGGTCTTGTGGTTCATAATCATAGATAAGAGACCAATGCCAGACAAATATGGCATAGCTACCTCTGTTAGAACAAGATCAATGTGATTGGTTGGATCTTCCAGAATTTTCCATGCTTCTAGGCCATGAGCTACAGCCGTAACTGCAAAATACTCAATTCAGTTGAAAGAACCATAAGAATATTAAACAAAACAAATAAGATAGGCATAACATCTTTGTCAAAATAGTTAAGTTGTATACAAAAGGCGCATGCACTAAATAGACAATACTATCAATAAATATATTAACAAATAGATTTGACAAAGAACTTCATCCCTTAATTTAAATTAATCCAAGGGTCTGAATTAAAACCATTTTAACGTCCCAAAATAGGCCCATAAAATAACACCCACCCAATACCCTTTCCCCTCCAACACCTAAAAAAACACCTACTTTCTATAGATGAGGGATAAATTTGTTAACGAGAAATTTTACACAGCTTCGAAGGAATATTCTAACTTTCATTTTAAAGTGGAGCTCATTTGCCACGTATTGTGTTAAGGGGTTGGGGGGGGTGGGTAGGCCGTATTAAATAGGGGTGGGGTAGGTGTATTGACCCACTTTGAGATTTCAGATCGTTAGATTAATTTAACCAAAATACTCTACAGTGAAGAGAGAGATTGTATATTAACTTCTAGAAAATAATTATTCTATTTGATTTTATTTAATTAGATTCTTCCTGCATCACAATTAGAGAAAAAATTTATAGACAAGCAGTGTAACTGTGTAAATCAATAAGGAAATTATATCAATTTATGTTTCCAAGTATTTTAAAAATTTGAAAGTGGTAGTTTATCACCAGGGAAACTACTTTATTTTTTAAGGTCCCAACAGATTTTGAAACTAGATTATATTCTCTCCAGCAACTCTTGGTCTTTTCTGATTGTATATTTGCTTGAACGAAAAAACAATGTCAGAAGGGAAGACAAAGTGAGAAGGTTGACTTGCTCTCTCTATTTGGAGAGAAACAGCCAATGCAAACGACTTTTCACTGTCTTCCTCGTCTCCAAGAAAGACTGAACTTTACAGGCTTTATATCCCATAATTATCTGCAATCAATATAGATGAAACTCACAAGAATAGATTCTCTGAAAATATGTAATATGTTTCCAAGACTGTACATGGACTGCACACCTTTACGGTGCAGAGAGGGCATTCTTCAAGACGATGAGGTAATTGCATATAGCTGACATTTGCAATTATTGAGAGCCTATCCTACCAACAGATAAGATATTTTTTCAGTTATTTTTTGCTTATTTGAGATGGAATATGAGAAACCAGTGTAACTACATTAGAAATATTATTAAAGAATAAACTCCAATTCCAATGAGGAACTACTTAAGGAAATATCAAGCTAGACAAAAATTAATTGGATTCCACGACTGATATTATCGTTCAAGTCAAATTATAAACTAAACCTCATCAACAAAAGGTCCAAATACAAAGTAAAAATGATATATTCTTCAAGATAACTGGTCAGGTAAGCCTAATTAGACTATATAAATGCGTTGATCTGAGTTATACAAACAGTAGGTAGAAAAATTAACAAGTAGAACATTGTATAGTCAAGTATGCACGACCTATTGACAATAAGAAGCAAGAAAGAAAGAGTGGTTAACCTTCATAGCTGCAGTTCTGAAGCAACGCACTTACGACGTGTCGAGTTGACTCATCATTTTCCACCAGTAGAACCTTAATGGACCTCAGAGGAAGTAACCCTTCCCAATGAACCAATGATCCTTGAGTTCCCAGGGGCGTTAGCTGTTGTGTTTGTGAAACAGCCTGGGTTCGTAACAAATCGGTGTCCCGACCATATACATAGTCAGAATCTTCATTAATCCTCGATTCTTCTTCCTCCAAGGTCCCAGGTGTGTCACTTGTAGTTCCATTTCTTACTTCATTCTGGTTATCCCGCATGAGGTGGTGATTTAGTTCCTCCAACCCATTGGCTAGGGGAGCATCAGTGTCCACTCGAAAACCCCTCATCAACCAGATGGAGAAAGACCGTTCACGAATAAGGTATCAGATTGAGTCGGCAAGAAAATGTCTAATTTAGATAAGTACCACATACCGTTGTCTTCAAGTGCCAATCCTATTCAAATAGAAATTCTTCAATCAATTGTATAATAGTAACTCAATTTAGATGAAGCACAAGTGCACACGTCTAAATATAATAAATGAATTTGTATGCTGTTCAGATTCAATAATACAAGAGCAAAGATATCTCTAAAGCAGTTTCTGCCTTCTAACCAGCCGCTTTATCTGTTAGTCTAAATTATTCACTCATAATTCTTTTACCCACAGAAATAAATAATCTCTCTACCTCTATCCATCTCTTTTTTCCTTTCTTAACTCAACTTCATGATTTTTTTCATGTTAACACTTGGTATATTAATTGAAAAATATGTAACTTTGATTTATTGAGAAATAACTTTCCTTAACTCAAATTCGCTATTTTTTTCCTGCTTTCTTGGTAAGTTTATTAAAATATATGTAATTTTGATTTATTAACAAATAACTTGAATTCTTGAGCACGCATCAAATCAAGCGCGGTATATAAATCACCCCACATATTTGATACCATAAAACGAGAAATTTACTTCAATATATGTAAGCCTCAATGAATGAACTATGTTTATAACATTTCAATTAATTTTTCAAAAGTTTCCACAGTTCTTTAGCAGCTAAACACGAAGTTTTGAAAAAATGGAAAAAAAATGTCATATTTTCACGAACTACGAAAATAAATTCAAATTACCTTTGGAGCATCGGAGAACAAAGCAATCACTTGTATGACTTCAGACCATCTCGATCCGAAACTATCCACACTCACAAGCTATTTCGAATAATTAACCAATAAGAAATATAAAATAATAAAATCACTGAATATTCAAAAGCATAATTTTCTAGGGTTGAGAAGAAGATTAAAAGCAGAGAGAGAGAGGGCGCAATAAGATATGCATAGAGCAGAAAAGATATTATATTCCCTTCATGATGATGACGTGGACATTATTGAGGTGCACATGGTCCTACGTGTATGACACGTCTGATGCCATGTCGAAATTGAGAGTCTGTGACGTGGTTAACGAATCTAAATACGGGAGAAGAGAGTCTGTTGTGCGGATCTAATTAGATCCGATTTGGAAACGTGGCCGGCTGAGGGACTAGCTAATGGTTTTGTATTGGGAAAATTAACGGAGCTAACGGCGATATGTGCGACGTTAAAAAACTAAAAGCTCCACATGGGACTGACGGCAGAGTTGACATCAAGTCATCAACCACGAAGAATATGAAATGACGTAATTGCCCTTTTGACAACCTTCTTCAGACCACTTGCATTGGATGCCTTCTCCACATCAGCTTAAAAATATCTAGAAGTTTAACTGTGGTACTTTCAGGTAAACGTACGAGTGGAAAACGACCATGCTACTTGTACAAAATGGTCTGACAAATTGGATTTACAAAGTGAGGTGACAGAAATTAAAAAGATTTAAATGTCCTTCTTCTATCCTTTAGTTATATCAATATATTTTTTATCAAAACAATCGTTTAATATTCTAATTTTATTTTATTATTTATTAATTTCTTTATTAATTTTGAATATATTTTCTGTAAAATATAAAGGCAC